CGCCGACTCGGGGCCTACTGCCAGTTGGAGGCTACTCCCAGTTGAATAGCCCCCAACTCTCCGCCAGTCGGAGGCAGTTCCCGGCTGACTTGCCCCAGCTTCCCGTCAGTTGGAGGCAACTCCCAGTTGGGGCTTAGTACCAGTTGGAGGCTACCCCCAGCTGAGTTGCATCGGGCCCACCGTCAGTTGAAGGCGACTTTCAGTTGGGCCCACGGCCAGATGGAGGCGACTCCCAGTTGAGTAGCACCGCCAATTGGAGGCAATTTCCGGCTGACTTGCCTCCGGCCCCTCGTCAGTTGGATGCAACTCCCAGTTGGGGCCTATTGCCAGCTCGAGGCTACTCCCAGCCGAGTTGCCTCCCACTCTCCGCCAGTTGGAGGCAACTCCTGGCTGAGTTGCCTCCTACTTCCCGTCAGTTGGAATTAACTCCCAGTTGGGGCCGACTCCCACTTGAGTAGCTTCCAACTCTCGGTCAGTTGGAGGCATCTCCCAGTTGGGGCCTACTGCCAGTTGGAGGCGACTAAAAGTTGGGTAGCCTCGAAAGCTTCGCCCTGTCGAGGCACCTCCCAGCTGAGTTGCCTCCAACTCCCCGTCGGTTAGAGGCAACTCCAAGTTGGGGCGGGCGACCCGTTGGAGGCAATCTCCAGTTGGGTAGCATCCAACACTCCGCCAGTTTGGGGGGGGGCTCCAAGCTGGGGCCTGCTGCCAGTTGGAGACTACCCCCAGTTGGCTAGCCTCCAACTTCCCGCCAGGTTGGAGGCTACCCCTAGCTGAGTTGTCTCCAACTCCCCGTCAGTTGGAGGCAATTCCCCATTGGGGCCGACAGCCAGTCGGAGGCGTCTTCCATTTGGGTAGCCTCCAACTTTCCGCCAGTTGGAAGCAACTCGCAGCTGGGTTGCCTCCAACTCCCCGTCAGTTGGAGGCAACTTCCAGTTGGGCCCGAATGCCAGTTGGAGGCACTTCCCAGCTGAATTTCCTCCAGCCTCCGCCAGTTGAAGGCAACTCCTACCTGAGTTGCCTCCAACTTCCGGCAGTTGGAGGCAGCGCCCAGTTGGGGCCGGCTGCCAGTTGGAAGCTACTCCCAGTTGAGAAGCCTCCAATTCTCTGCCAGTTGAAAGGCTACTCCTGACTGGGTCGCCTTCAACTTCCTGTCAGCTGGAGGCGAATCCCACTTGGAGCTTACTGCAAAATTGGGGCCTGCCTCCAGCTGATTAGGCTCGAAATCTCCGCCAGTTAGAGGCAACTTCCAGTTGGAGCCTTACTCCTGGGGTGGTCAGGGGTGGGGGCGGCGCCCAACTCTCCGCCAGTTGGAAACACATCCGGGTTGGAACCTACTGCCGGTGGAGCCTGCTCCCAGTTGAGTGGCCTCCAACTTTTCACCAGTTGGAGGCAATTTCCATCGGGGTTGCCTCCAACTCCCCGTCAGTTGGAGGCAACCCCCACTTAGGGCCTACTTCTGAGGCGGGGCGGGGACGGGGCGGCGCCCAATTCTCTACAAGTTGGAGGCAACTCCCAACCGAGTTCCCTCCAACTCCCTGTCGGTTGGAGGCAACTCCCAGTTGGGGCATATTGTTGGTTGGAGGCTACTCCCAGTTGGGAAGCCTTGACAGCTCCGCCAGTTGGAGGCACTTCCCAGCTGACTTGCCTTCGGCTTCCCGTCAGTTGGAGGCAGCTCCCAGATGTCCAGAGCTAGTCCCACTTGAGTAGCCTCCTGTTTTCTGCCAGTTAGAGGCAACTCCCAGCCGGGCTGCCTCCAACTCCCAGTCAGTTGGGGGCAACTCCCAGTTGGAGCCTACTGTCAGTTGGATGCTATTCCCAGTTGAGTAGCGTCGCCAGTGTGGGGCAACTCCCAGCTGAGTTGCTCCCAGCTCCCCTTCAGGGGGGGAACTCCCAGTTGCTTCCAACGCTCCGCCAGTGGGAGGCTACTCCTAGGTGAGTTGCCTCAAATTCCACGTTTTTCGGAGTCAATGCCCAGTTGGAGCCTCCTGCCTGTTGGAGGCTTAACACCGCCAGTTGGACGCGCTCCCCGATAGTCGGAGGCAACTCCCAGTTGGAGCCTGATGTCAGTTGGAGGCAACTCCCGGTCGAGTCGTCTCCAACTTCCCCGCCTTTTGGAAGGAGCTCGCAGTTGGAGGTTACAGTTTCAATTTGAAATTTCTTCGGATTTCCGAGTTGATGTGTTATATTTCGGTATGAAGCCTCAAGCTGCGATTTCCAAGCAAACATTAAAACCGTCCAGACCTTCATGCAGGCTCTAGTCGGAGGAAGAGGAGGAAGAGGAGGAGGAGGAGGAGGAGAAGGAGGAGGAGGAGGAGGAGGAAGGAGAGGAAGAGGAATGCTCGAGGAAAAGGGCGTGGATGATCGCCTCTCAGCCGACGCCGTCCAGTATGGCGTTTTTGCGCACCTCCCCACGAGTTGCACATCAGGAGCAATTGCACGAGAGTTGGAATTTGGAGGGACAACGTGAAATAGTTTCTGCCATCTTCGATGCCCTCCGCCATCTAAGCTTCGGAGTGAGTAAAAGCACTTACAACATGTGGGGAGCACGCCGATGAAGACGAAAACGCCCCAGGAAACGTCAAGAGCATCTCGATGGGCGTCGCGTATGCGCCCTCCCAGGCACCGAGAAAGACGTCAGTTCATACAATGGGGCCCGACCCCTTGATCCTTCCACGGGCTGGTAGGCCAGGCGCCGCGCGTAGACCTCGAAGCCTTGTCGATTCGATCCTCCACGCCAGGAGAGGCCACAGACCGCGCTCAGGCACGTCGTGTGTTTGTCGCCGGTCCGGCGCCGCTCCTGCTGTGCCTGCCGTTGGTCAGCACGCTTCTCTGATCGCTTGCCGCGACCCGCCTGACTGGCCGCCTTCGCGGCGGGGAGGCAGCTGCTGGTGGCCACTCTCGCCCAGTCGCGCTCGTGCAGCCGCTCAAAGTCGGTGTCGTGGGCGTCGTCGTCGTCGTCGTCGTCTGCGGAGTCTTTGAGGTCTGCCCACGTGGGGAAGCTGTCGGACGTTCAACTCGTCGTCGGCATCGCTCCACCACGCCATGGCTCTCGGCCGCTCGGGGCTCCTCCTTGTCCTCTTCCTCGGCGGACTCGTCGTCGTCGTCGACGACAACTTCGAGGAGCTCCGTTGTTTCCGTGTCAAACTGCTGGTCGTCTGCTCCACTCCCTCCTGCCTGAGAGTGGTCTCCACCTCCCCCAAGAAGAGGGTCGCTTACATGCACAGCGTGATTTACACCCTCACCCCGTCCGTGCCCCAGGAGCGGCGGCAGGCCAAATGAATTGTCGCCCCTGGGAAAGCCGACTACTTCTTATAGTACGCGTTGGAGGTGGTGGCCGAAACATCCCGTAGGCACCCACGTCGATGCTCGCTGTGCTCATCCACTTGCTCAGGTTGGTAAGTGAAACCAATCACGTTCTGCATAGACATCCCATCGCATTCGCAGCAGGGCGTCGGTGAAGCGGGTCCATGCGGACATCCTTCGCAGCGCCAGCTGACCACAGGCCAATTGCCGCTCCCGCCATTACCGCGGGAAGATTGCTGTGCACCCTGGCGCGGCCGATACAGCCCGATCCGACGCGTATTTCGATTGTGCCCGCTCGACACTGACTGATCATGCCACCCCTCGCCATGAAGGGTGGAGGAGGGAGGAGGGAGGAGGGAGGAGGGAGGAGGGAGGGGGGAGGGAGGGAGGGAGGGAGGGAAAGAGGAGGAGGAGGAGCAGGAGGAGGAAGACGAGAAGAGGGGCCTTGAGACATGGGTCCCGGACCCACGGGCACTCCCCAGGACGAGAGCCGTTTCGTCCCGAGTCGCGCCTCTGACGGCCCCGGGGCCCGTGCAGGGCCCCGGGGCTGGGCGTCGCGCAATGGGGAGGCGACGGCTGGGGGCAGCGAGGGGCCCTTTAGCGCCCTTGATGGGGACCTGCAGGAGCCCTGAATCTGGACGCCCGAAATGGGCACGGAAAGAATGGGTACAATGCCCAACAGCAGTTCTTGCTCATTTTGAACAGGACTCGCTGTCCACGCCGCCGCGGCCTGTATGAATTCGAGACAGAAGGCCGCCTGCCCAACAGCGGCCGCTGTTGGTTTGCGACAAAATTTGCTGTTGGGCATTGTACCCATTTTTTCCGCACCCATTTCGGGCGTCCAAACTGAAGGGCCAGAGAAGTTGCCCTTGAGGGCCCCCAGAGGAGCCCTTCAGGGCCCCCAAAGGAGGCGAGGCCTGCAGGGCCCGAAAAGGGCACCTCCCCTCCCTCCCCCCCCCCCACACACACACACCAATTATCGCCCCCCCCATTGAGCAACGCTCAACAGGGGGTTACAAGCGGCGGAAAATGTCCAGGACCCGTTACCAGCGGTGGCAATGCGGGAGCCTCCAGAAACATTCAGGATTTTCGAAACGACGACGACGTCATCCTCGGCGTGCTCCAGGACCCTGGCACGTTCCCTTCATGCTAGACTCCTCGTAGCGGCGCCAGATGCATCCTGTACAGATCCGCCAGCCCTCAGAGGTTTCCGATTTCTCTCGGTTGCAGCAGAGAAGTCAAGAGCTCGTTGGCGGGGCTTCTCCGTGCACGTCGTGCTGCGCAAGACGTTCAAAACGCAAAAGGTAGTCCCCGATATTACGTTGCATCTTCGGGGGACCTCGCCTGTCCCCAGAACTGGTGTCTTTTCTTGTGCCCGACGCGGGCCCGATGCGGACTCGACGCGGATTCGGCGTGGATTCGACGCGAATTCGACATGGATTCGACACGGATCCGACGAGTCCGACATGGATTCGACACGGATTTGACGCGGATAGGGCCGTGACGGGACAGACAAGGTCCCCCGGGGATGCAACATAGCCGATATTTGCACCCCGTGTTTCTTATCCTGGCCCCGTCAGACCTCTCTTGTGGCAGTGCCCTCCTCCTCCTCCTCCTCCTCCTCCTCCTCCTCCTCCTCCTCCTCCTCCTCCTCCTCCTCCTCCCCATCTTCATCCTGCCCTCGTCCTTGCACGGAGGACCTCCTCTGCCTTGCGGCCGACGCCGCTCCCGTGGGCTCGCCGCCGGCGGCGACCGTGCTGCCCCTGGCGGCGCCAGCGCCGCCCGCGGGTGCCTGCCTGGCGGAGCACGCGAGGCGCGCAGATGGGGGATCTTGAAGGGGGCGGGGGGGTTAGATTCGAAGCGGGCATGGCGTGTGCGTTCCTCAACAGGTGACGACTCGTTCTACGCCGCCCATCACTTGTAACGGGTGGTGGTAGTTGAGGCGGTAGTTTGTGCGCCTTGCACTGTCATTCGCGACGGTGCTGTCACCTCGACGGAACAGCGGGAGAGCAGCCCGGCGGAAGGGTGCCCGCGCTGGCTTCGCTCTAAAGGCACCCCCGGGGCGGACCAAATGAGCGGTACTGAGAAGAAGGACGCGGGAAGGATGGTTTTGTTAGTGCGCTCGCGCTGTAACGTGAGGATTCCCGGCTCACCGCACGCTGCTCTTCCCTCCTCTCCTTCCTTTTTCCACCTCCGCAGCCGTCAAGGCTGGAGCTGGCTATAGCTTGGAAGGATGTCGTCCCTGAACCCCAATGGCCGCACTCCTCGCCTGTCTCCTCGTCCCCGCGTTCGCGACCCTCGCCACCGTGGGTGGGCTGGGGCTCCCCACCGTCGGCGACCCCCGTGGGGGGAGCGGGGCTGTGGCGGAGGCAGACGGGGAATCGGAGCACGCGGGGGAGCATTTGGCAGTTCCTCCCCCCCCCCTCCCCCCCTGGACGTGGCAAGGCCCCCCCGGCGTGGCCCCCCACCCTCCAGCGTGGGGAGGGGCCTGGCCCCATCGGTTCGTCGGTTCGGTGGGGGAGGAATTGCGTGAGGTCGCTTGGCTGGCCCAGCCCGTCCCTCGGGAGAGCCCCAGCACGGTGTTGGGAGAAACCGCGAAAGGGCGCGGCGCGCCCGCCCCCGCCCCGGTGCGGGGCACGGCAGCGCTCCCAGTGCCCCCGAGGGGACCCCCGCCCAAGACTGCCTTTCAAAAAGCCCAACGCTGACAAGGAGCGTGGCCCGAACCCCTGGGAGGGTAAGGAGGGCGCGAACCTCCCAGCCGTCCTTAAGAAACCGGGTGGAAAACGTCGCCCAGTTCGGAACCCCCTCGAAGCCCCCGCGCAGCGCGCGGCCCCCGCCCCCTTGATCACGTCTCCCCTCGTGTGGGTCGAGAGAGGCAAGGGCCCTGTAGCCCCAGCGCAGCGTCTGGCTCCGGGGCCTCCGCTCGCTGCCTCACCGATGAAGGGCGAGGGGGAGGAGTTGAAAAGGTCCCCCCCATCGAGGAGACGTTGCGGCCAGCGGGGACACCATCCTGCCCATCTGGTTCGGCGGGGTCCTCCACTCCGGGGTCCAACCCCGCCCCTGAGCCCTCGCCCGAGCCCGCCGCCCCTGCGGCCCCGTGGTTCGGAGGGCTCTTCAACCTCGCTCGACAGGCTCTCGGGGGCCCGTCGGAGGGCAACATGGGGCCCCCGCGCCCGACCCCCCAGGGAACGAACCGGGAAGCGGGGATGTGGGCCCGGAGTGCCCCCCCCCCTGAGCGTGGCGGGGCGCGTGGGAAGATTTGTGCTCTTGGCCTGACCGCGCCTGCCCGGATAACCTCCCCGAGAGCCTTGAGGAGCCCGAGGAGGAGAGAATCTGGGAGATCAACTGGTTCGCCAGCGGGCGCCAGGAAGTGCTTCTTGAGGTGCGTCACGCCCGGCGGCAGGCCTCACCGCATGATTCTTCTGGCTCGCCCTCGGGTACCTGGATGAGACCCTCACCTTCCTCTTGGGGGAACGTTGGGAGGGGTTCAAGGCGCGCGCTGATGGGTGCCTGCTGGTCTACCCCGCGGCCATGCGCCTCGCGGCCATCATCGTCGTCTCCGACTGGGGGATCCGCCCTTTCTTCTGGGCTTGCTGGCGCTTGGGAAAGTCTCCCTTCTCCAGGGAATGGTTTACCCGAGTTGAGGCGAACCGGCTCTTCCTCCTGGAACTGGACAGGAGGGGGCTTGGCGCTCTGCCCGTGGACGACAACTTCTTCGAGGACACCATCCTGGCGCGGAGTGATTGGCCGCTCCCCAGCCCCCCAACCACCCCATGGGCTAGATCGATGGGGAGAGGCTGCGTCTGGATCGGGGTTTGAACGGAGATCCCATAAAGAAAGACAAGCGCCCTGGGCAGGACTTCCCTTGCTCCCGAGCGCATGGCTGCACCGACCCCCAGCTCAGGGCCGCCTTGGACCGGGCCCCTGCAAAGGTAGCGCACCTCTGCCGAGAGGGGGACGCCTGTGGTAGCCAGGAGGTAGTCGTCGTGCATTCCCGCAAGTTCACCGTGGTGGACTCTAAAGCCCTACTCGACCTGGAAGAAGACTGGGAGATTCGCCCCACCAAGGTCGTCTCATGGGCAGCGGCTTCGGCAGCGGGCAGGGAGGTTTCTTCGTGGATGCACCGTGCCCCTGGGCCTCTTCACTCTGGTGCCTCTCTTGGGCCCTCTGGGGGGCGATCCTGGGCAGTCGGGGGGAGCTCTTTGGGGGCCTCGTGGACCGTCTTGGGACGATCTCCGGGGCGATCTGTGGGCCGTCTTGAGCGTCGAGCGCCCGAAAAGGCGAGCATGCCAAAATTTGTCAATGGCCAGCGGATAATCAACAAGTTTGGCATCTCGGGGCCCCCTTTGGGCCTCTTCGAACCCTCCTGGGGCGTCTCGGGGGCCTCTTGGGCCGTCTGTGGGCCATGCTTGCCGACTTAGCGAGATCTCTGGGCGAGTCGGGGCCATCTTGAACCGTTTCAGGGGGCCTCTTGGGGCCCTCTCGGCCCATCTTGGGGCCCTCTTGGCTTCTGGAGCAGTTGCACGACCGACCCCCGCGAATGTGGGCTGTGGGCCCCGTAAGGATTAGCTAAACTATTCAACGCAGAGAATTCGGAGGGATTTGAGGACACTTCAGCTCGTGCCTCAGGGCACGGTGGCGGTTTCTGATAGGGCACGTGTTTTCCTAGAACTTACAGGAGCCGGTATTGGTATGAAAACAAGCAAACGATCTTGAATTATCGTGCTTTCTGCGCGCGCACGTGGCCCACAACCAAGACAACGGATCGCGCCAGTGCCAGACGGGGCGGATCCTTGCGTGGTCGGGAGCCTTGAGGCGGGGGTCAATGCAAACGGGGGTCAGCCAGAGCGCCCGATCCTGCAGGATCCTGCAGGGCCAGGGTCGCAGATCCGGGCTTGGGTGCGGGATCCTGCAGGATCTTGCGGGATCCTTCGCGCTGACCCAGGCTTGGGTGCAGGATCCTGCAGGTGCAGGATCCTTCGCGTTGACCCGGGCTTGGGTGCAGGATCCTGCAGGATCCTTCGCGTTGACCCGGGCCTGGGTGCAGGATCTTGGAGGTTTCTGCAAGGCTTGACTGACCTGGGTCTGGATCGACCCGGGTCCGAAGGTCCCCGACGTAGTTCGTCTTTCACCGGTTGAGAGGATGGACATGGCCAGAAAGCATGCGACACCAAATCGGACATACTGTGCGCGCGTGTGTTTGTGGGGTGAGCGGATGCGATTCCGTCCGGCTTGTGGCACATACTAGATATTCCATGCAGTTTCGATTATAGTAACGTAAGTTGTAGGTGTCTGTATCGATACGGGCGCAATCTATTCCCACCTTCCCACCCAATCACCAAACGCGCCTGAACAGTCCCACAGAGCTCGTAGTAAAATATCTTGGCCGATTGTTGGGTGTCTCATTGTCTTGTTTTCCGAATCAGTACAAAGCGCCGTGCAAGTTTATGATTGCATGCGCGCTTGTAGTAGTTTCCCTCGCGCACAGAAAAGGTGTTCGTGCCGATAGTGTTTGACACATGTAGTTGCGTGCTTGCAATCGTACATGTTTAACGAACTTTGTCAAGCGGTTGTTTAAGTGTTGTACTTTCCGCCCGCGTGAGTGGGTTATGTGGTTTGCATCGCGGTGTCTAAAAAGCGGTTCGAAGCATTCATCGTACAGTGTAAAGTTTACGATATGTTGTACCATCAATCGTGCCATGGCCGGATACGGCGGATCCTCGGGTGGCATATTTTTCCCGGTAGAGCCGGTGTTGGGATGATTTGGAGATCCACAGGGGAATGCCCAGGCCAGATGCGTCGTCGCACCGCATGATGTTATTTCAAAGGTCGGATGTACGTTGGGGCCCATCATATATGACGACACATCGGAACATGTCTTGGCCTGATCAGGATCAGCCCGGCCAATGGGTGCAGTACATTTTCCACGCATGCAGGTAGCACCATAGAACAGCATATTTCGTTGCGGAAGCACGTGCGTTCTTATGACGTGTTGCCTCTTCTACCCCCTTTTATCGCGTCCGTGCAGTTCCGTCTCCGTTGAGCAGCGTAACGTGCGCGCCTTGCCCGAAAGTTGCAGATCTCATCAAGTTGTCATTTGGGTCTTTACAGAAACCGTGCAAGCTGATGAGTTCCTGCGCGCATCTTGATATCGGCGCTGATGTGCCTTGGCGCGGGCGCGGATCAGCTGATGTGTTTGCATTAAAACGTGCCTTCGCATTTGTTTGTGAATTGGGTATATACATACAGCAACGGCGCACCGGGGCCCGGGCCCCCGGGGCCGCAGCCTCTACCACAAATGGTGGTGCACAGTGCCATGTCCCTCATGTTTTGCACATGGTTTCGGCGATCTGGGGCCGTCAGAGGCCCCCAGAGGCTGCAGGGAGGCCGCAGCGACGGCTCCAGACGCCTTGAAACCGCCCCTACAGAACGGCGCGCGGGGCCGCGGCCTTTGCCACAAATTTCAGCTGCGCCTGCACCCTCCCGCGCCCGAATGTGCCTGCACCCGCTTGACAAGGGGTGCGGCGCCTCCGCGCCGTCCAGCCTGGCGGTGCCAGACAGAGCCGACGCGCGGGGCGCCAGGGGTGCAAGTACCCCCAGGAGCGGGAGGGCGGGGCGAAAGCGCGCGCGCCGCAGCGCGCGCGCCGCAAGCGACGGGAGGACGCGAGCGCCGTCGCAAGCGGAATGCAAGCGACAAAGCTAGCAAACCGCGCAACCCCGAAGCGCGCCGCGATCCGCACCGTCGGGATCCCCGCGGCGCGCCTGCATGGAGCGAAAAACTGTACCCCAGTGCGACCCTACCTAGAAGTTGGAGCCCTTAGGAAAGCAGCATTACTGGCGATGCTATGACATGCTATGCCATGCTATGCTGCGCTATGCTATGATATGCTATGATGTGCTATGCTATGATGCGCTATGCTAACCTAAGCTAGACGGTGTCATGCTGCGCTGTGCGATGCTAAGCTTTGATATGCTATGATATGTTATGATAAGATGCACTATGATATGCTTTGGTATGCTATGCTATGCTATGATATCCCATGCGTTGCTACGCTTTGCTATGTTATGCTATGCTATGCGAATGCTGCGCTATGCTAAGATAAGCTAAGCTAAGCTAAGCTACGCCTCTAGGAAGAGCCTAGGTCGGAAAATACACCCATGCCAATATGCTATGCTGCGCTATGCTGCGCTATGCTATGCTGCCTTCTGCTATGCTGAAGCTCAGCGAAGCTAAGATGAAGGTAGGCTAAGCTAATACAAACCTGAGCTAAGAAAGCTAAGCTAAGGTGGCATGAGTTAAGCTAAGATGAGATAAGCAACGCTAAGCTAAGGGGACGTAGCTGGGGAAGCCGCGGGGCGGATACTGGGGGAACCGCCCGGGGCGCTTTCCACTGCCCGGCCCTTTAAGCCCAGAGAGTAAGAACCTTTCTAGGCAGAGCCTAGGTAGGGAACAGTGCGCGAAGAAAGCATAGTAAACACGCCGTGAACTCGCGGGCCCTTCTCGCGGGGCTGTTCGCAGCGCAGCGCAAAACGCAATGCGAGAAGCGAGCAGCGCCGGCACGACGCGCGCGCGGGCCCTTCTCGCGGGGCCCGCGCGCGGCGCAACGCATGCCGACGCCGCCTTCGCGCGCGCGAGCTCTTCGCGCGGGGCTGCGCGCCGCGAGGCGCAGGGGGGCTGGAGGCGGCCCGCGCGCGCAGCTAAGTCGCCCGCGCGCGGGCCAGGCGCGGGCGCGAAATTTGCGCCCGCGCGCAACGCGGCACAGTGGCGCGCGCGCTCCCGATGGCGTTGCGCGCCCACCGCAAATTTCAGCTGCGCCTGCAGCCTCCCGCGCCCGAAGGTGCCTGCGCCCACTTGACAAGGGGTGCGGCGCCCCCGCGCCGTCCAGCCTGGCGGTGCCAGACAGAGCCGACACGCGGGGCGCCAGGGGTGCAAGCGCCTCTGGCCGATGCGCGCCGGTGCACCGCGCGGCGGCGACGCTCGCGGCACGCGCGCCCCTTGCGAACACGGGTGGCGCGCGCGGCGACGCCGCGATGATGCGATGCGCGACGCCTGGGTCGCTGGTGCTTAGCCAAGGTCGCCCTCGCACTCGGCCAGGTGCGCCTCGACCACGGCGCCAAGCACAAGCTGCGTCATGTCGAGGTGCGGCAAGAAGGCGGGCGAGGACCATTCGCCCGCCTGAAGGATCTCGCGCAAGGTACCTCCCCTCTGCTGAAGATCGAATGCGCGGCCGCGCCTCAAGTCATGAGCGCGATTGAGCGCCGCGTCTACGACGCCGAGCTTGGCGAGAAACAAGCGCAACGTCCTCGGCGACCCCGCCGCGCTAATGTCCGAGAACGGCTTGGGGCCCACGGGCAGACCCGCGAACCAGGCGCCAAGCGCGCGCAGGGCGCGTCGCCGTGCAACGGGCGCGCCGGCGCGCGCGCTGCAGCACGGAACCGAATTGCTTGTTCTTGCGACGCGCCAATTCGAGCTGCAGGAAGTCATCGCACATAATGAGGGAAGCCTCTGCACCCTGGCGAAAGGCGACGCCGTCGAACGAAATGTCCAGGGCCTCCGAGGGGCGGCGCAGCAGAAACACGTACGTGACGAGAAAGAGCTGCGCAAAGTCGGCGGACTCTTGCCACGCACTTGCTCGCTTAAGCAGCGCGCAAAGTGCGTCCTCCCGGATGAGCGGTGCCCGGGCAGGAAGGCGCCGCGCTTGTGAATCGCGCATTTTGCGCGGCGAAGGGGCGCATCGCGAACAATGTAAACCGGGAGACTACGAACCTCACAAGCAAGCTTGACGTGCGAGATATAATGAGAAAAGGCATGGTCGGGTCGAAATAGCAGTGACCATGCGAGCAGCCCGTCAGCGGACGGCGGCAGCTCACGACCGCGCAGCGCTAGAGCCTCGCGCGCAAACGCGAACCGCGGTGCCGCGCCGCTTTTGAAAGAGGCGATGGAGCGCGGATATGCGCCAAGGAGGGCTGCTGCGCGCGCCGAAGACAGCCGCTCTGCGACGCTCGCAGGCCCTTCCTGGTTGTCGAGCCGCTGGCGAAGATTGCGGAGCTCCGCGCGCGGGCCCCCGCCGCACTGCGGGGGGCGAGCGCCCTTAACTCGAGGGGCGCGTCGACGGCCGCGCCCCTGACGGCCGGCACCCGCGC